CATAAATACACCCCCGCTCTATTTCCCGTCGCGAAAATACCGCCCGGCGCGATGGTTATATCGCACGACGGATTGGGATTTACGGGCACAATGTGGGATTTTGAAAATCGGCCAGTTGGATTAATGTTCGCGGAAACATCGATCGCGCAGCCGTCGGATTCTCGAGACCCGCGCCGGGAGTTTGATGCGCCTCGCTATTTTGGTTTACACGGCAACTTGAATTTATCGTTTAGCCGCCTCCGATCCGCCATCCCGGCCAATCGTATATAATTTCGAAAGTAAGTTTGCTACGTACGTACGTACGTAAAAGTTCCCGGCAGAGTCGAGTAAATTTATCTAGAGTCGTTCGCGGAGAGTAGGAACTCTCTCTCTCAACTTTCAGCTACCCTCTGACGCAATTTATCATGTATATCGTAACGATCCGCTACGCGGAATAAAGGATTCGGTGACCGGCCGGAGACGACACAAACGGAACGTATAATCCCGCCGGTTATATAAAAATATTCGGAGAGTGCATGAAATGCGCCCCGGCGTACACCGTATTTGTCATTCGGACAATTTAAGTCAGTGTCGCTCAAACCTCGCCCAAGCCCACTCCACCGTGCGACGCAGCAAAGCCGAGATCGACCAATTGGCGAGACCGATCATCCCGGGCGTGTTTCCGGCGGACGACCGACGGACTTCGTCGTCAGACGTAGTACGCCAAGGGGGAGTCGGGAAATAAATGTCGACGATCGTGCCAGCTTTCTCACGCGAAAGATGTGAAAATTGATCAACCCGCGTCGCATTTCTTCCCCGCTGGCCTCAACCCAGTTTGAGAGGCACTGATTCAGGCGACCGCGAGTATCTGACGCGCATAGTTTCGGATTGCCGAACGCTCTCTCTCACCCCCGACAAGGGGATGCAGGTTTGTAGGCCGGCGGGGACCGGGGTCAAACGCGGACCGCGCGATTCTGGTCGACGGTGACAGGCCGGGCGTAGGAGTGTCAGGACGTGAATGGAATTGCGAGCGAAATCGGCCGCATATTCCGGCGTTTACATTTATATTCCACTCGGAGAACGCGGTCGATCCGAGTCTGGCCGAGTGTATTTGCAAAGGTTCTTCCCGCCCTTCCCCGTCCCGTGACGTCTCCACCGGCCGTGCGAAAGTTCCTATCTTGTCACAATTCGGCCGCCGACATCGCCCGTCTGACGTTTGAATCGCTTTAACCCCTTCGGATCCATTTTTCATACTCCCATTTCGCTGTCTCTATTGACGCCGGCGGATTTCGCCGGATCAAACGCCGGGGAGGGGGCAAGGGTAGGCGGGGAGGACACAGCGCGTGCGGGGTATCGACTGGCCCTTTGAAACCAAATTTGCCTCCGTACAAAGTTAGAATTTTTTAGCGCGAGTCTATGACCGTGCATTAAAGCCGGCCTCTCGATCCTTTGATTCCTTTTCGGCCGCGCGATAGGGGGTTTGTTATCAATTGCTTTGCGCGTGATGAAAGGGGGAAAAGAAGGAGCGCGCGAATGTACCCTCTTCTCTCGGCGTGTATTTGCCGCGAGCCTGGCTGTGCCAATTTATATTATTATTCATACGCGATCCGCGTACATAGAGGCACCTTTGTCGCGAATTTCCGGCTCGATCTTTTCCGGCGACTCGCTCGGAATCGGGGAGAATCGTCCTCGGGAGGGCTGGCTTCCTCGATTTGCGGGGCTCTTCGCCACCGGCGGACTATTTCGGGTTTCAACGTTGAGCGTTCATTCGTAATGAGAGCTGGGATTACAATTCTAAATTGGCCGAAGAACGTCGTGAAAATTTCATTCTCGCGGGCTCTGGTAAATATAGCGCAGCGCGCGGCTTTGTAATATATTAACGTCTAGGTAAACGTCGGCGCCGCTCAATTAATCACTTCGCCGGGTCGGGGCGCTTACGCAAGCGAGCACGGTGGTCGCTTACTATTAAAGTGCGGCCGATTGTATTCGCGCGATATGCATTGAGCGCTCGGAGAGTTCCCTATAAACCGGAATATAAATGCCGGGCGGGGAAACAACGCGCGCGTGTGCAATAACGGTATGCAAAACGGCGGGTTTCGGCGCATAGCTTATCATGAAACGAACGAAGTGTCGGCGATCCGTATCGGCGATCGCGTAAATCGCCGATCGTCGTGCAATTCGGCGAGCCCGCTTGAAACACGCGGATAGACGTGTCGTCGATGCGCTGTCGAAAGTCGAGCGCGCGCGCGTTGGCTTTTCACCCCTCTCTCCTCATTTCTTTACTTTTATTCCCTCTCCCTCTTTTGCAGGACTCGCGTATCGCGACCGCTCGTTTGCCAGTCTGTTATTAGTAACATTAGCTAGAAAACGAGACGTTAATTAGGAAAAGGTCGGACGCAACGGGAAAGAAAAATGTTCGGCAGTACGAATTCAAAGACCATCTGCACCCCTTTAATTTCGTCGCGAAACGTAAAAGCGTGTGTCGCGTACCTTTAATTAAGTAATTTCGCAACGACCAATGTTAATGTCCGTGTCGTTCGGAGCAGTGACGACGCGCGGCACCGGTCGAATGTGGGGAAGAAAAAGATGAAAAAAGAAATGAGCGGGCCGATGAATAAAATATTAGGTCGATCAAAAAATTCGTGCATACGTGTCTCTCTCTCTTTCTCTCTCTCTCTCTCTTTCTTTCTCTCCTGCATGCATAAAACACGAGAAAGAAAACGAACTCTTCGATTAACTTACTAAAATCCCTCGAAAGTTGATTATTATAATATTCAGGGAATTGCCGTATCTACTTGAATAATTGATTCCAGTAAAAAAATCGCGCGCGATCGCGCGGTAGAAATAATTCCACGTCAATTCTGAATAAAACATAGGTAATTATTCGCGTAATGGAGTCTCCTCCTATTTTGTATTCCCTTGTATCCCATATTTCTACGGAGAATATATTTCACGGAGCGCATTCATCCCTGCTTCCGTTCCATCCCGCCCCTTCCTCCCTTCACAGGCCCACCCTTCTCACACATCGACGCGTCATTTATTATTCATCTTTTTTATTTGTCTATCCCCTATGCAAATAAAGCAGCGCACGTTTCGGGCTCACCACGTGTGATAGAGGACGTCATATTCGTGCGCGATCGTTCGCTTTCTCTCTCTCTTCTCTCTCTTCGTTGTATAAAAGACCTTTTAATATCGCCGAGCGTTAAGGGCGGCGTGTCGTCGTATTTCCGGTGCATTCCTCTCGCAAATAAGAAAATACCGAACGTAAAGCGTCCGGTGGCGCAACCGACTCCTCCTTCTCCCCCTTTCCCTCTCTCCCTCTTTCTCTCTTTTCCGGTGATATCACGCAGCGCGCGTGGAATGTCTTTACGAAGTTGCACGACAGCTAGAACGTTCGTTATAACATTACGAAACACTAATCTGTTCCGAGCGCGAGCGGATTGCTGGCCTAATTTATGACGTCGGCGCGGTTATATCTCACGCTTTTGCCGAGCGCGCGCGCTCACAATGCGACGCGACAGACGTGCGCGCTTTTTGATATATCGCACGTGCACTGCCGCGCGACGAAATCGCGCATGTACGGCGTTCGCGAGCTACAACACATCGTATGACGCGCACACATGTTTCGCGAGTGCGTCGAAGCAAGGCGCGAAAGTGGGCTAATTCGAGGGGCGAGTTGTCGCGATTGCTTCGAAGGGGATATTCAAGTGTTGTCTCGATCGTTATGCAGCAAACATCGCGATAGATAAAAAAGGTTCTTTTTCTTTCCCCGCTTGTTTAAGTTAAAAAATTTACGAAAAACTCGAATCTTTCAACAGTTGCAATTTCGTTAAAAATGTTTATATATTAACTTTTCAAGGTTCCGGCGATAGCTGCACTCATATCAATTAGAAAAAGTGTTTATATGTTTATTTATTTAAGTGTTTATACGTTTATATGTTTATTTTATGTAATTAGAGCAGCTGTAATCAATATATGTGATTGAAAGTATATTTCGCGACACGGTTTGCGCGTCGATTTCCAGCTGTATAATTTTTAATAAAGTGACTTGTAAAAATTTGATATATTACTACAAATATGAATAAATATCTATGGAAAAGCTCAGCCCTGGAACTCTAATAGTTTTTCTTATTTTAATTCCCAAAAATCAGCTTAAAAACGAGTGTCTAAATTAGAATACTCCCTTAAGCGGCGTTTAATGAGAATGTAAGCCTTAAGCCGTAAGAAATTGACCAATCACAATTAAATGCGAGAAGAATAATTGATTGTAATTGGTCAACCCCCCACGGCTCAAGGTTTAAAGCTCAAGTCTTACGCCTTAAATTCTCATTGAAGACGATGCTTTACGTGCAGCCCGTTACCGTGTTCGGTTCGGTCTTTCTGGTGTTCGATATAGTCTCTTTCAATGAGACTGAAACCGATTAATAAATATACAGATTTATTCAGCCTTGCAAGTTGTTAAACGCACAGTAATTAAAATATAAGATCTGGCGATTTATAAATAAAGCTTATTAATAAACAAATTAAATTAAAAAAAAAAATTAAAAAAAGAATTAAATAGAGAAGAAAAGATAAGAATGAAAATAAAGAAGGTATAAAATATAAGGTGAAGATATAACAAATATAGAAAAAAAAAATAAAGTTAGGAAATTAGAAATAGTGAGAGAGAAAAAGAGAGTGTTAGATTTATATGATCCTGGGATAGAACCTTTGAGGTAGAACGAGAGAGAGAGAGAGAAAAATATCTAGACCGGCGAAGTGCGTACGGGGATTGTCGCATTTCGCAGATGAACGATCATGTTTTTCGGTGCGTTAAATATTTATCACAGTCTATACACAACGTGTGACGTACAGTGTATTGTTGTCTTCGAAATCAAACGCGCGTATTCGCACACGGCACGGGAACCACACACAAGGACGATGGACCTTTTTTACTTTGCGATCGGCGTGCGGGAAGACAAACGGAATTAACGGCGCGGGTTGTGCGGGTATCTCTGCAGCGTTCGCGCGTACTTGTCGCATCACCGTTTGCGCCCAGCGCGCGGTGGCTTCGGTATTTTGAAGGTGGGCTTTGGGTAAGTCTTCGGTTTGGCCAGTCGCTTGATACGCCTGGAGCATCTCGCCTTTAACGCTGTCGGCGACACGGTGAAGGCGTCCTCCCTGAAATCCCTCTCCTTGCCCACCGGACGCAACACCGGCTTCGCCAAAGCGATTATTCTCTGGGAAGCTGCGACATTAAAGGTTACACCTGAGTCTCGCAAATCCGCTCGGTCGGTCCCTTGTTATTGACGCCACCCTCGAAAGCAACTTTATTTCTTTACCGGCGGACTTACCCCCACGCAAAAAAAAAAGACTAAACGGTCTGCGCGTGAGCGCGTTACGAAACGAACGAACGGATCGACAGACCGTTCGGCGGCTACGTTCAGCCGTAATCTCGGCCAAATTTCATTTTACACGAACACACACCACGTGCACGCGCGATACTTATTTGATTAGTTAGTCGGCAGTTACGTAACTGGATAATACGGCAATATGTGGTTCAACTTTCGAAACTAGCGATATAACCGCGCGCGCGCGCGCGTAGAAGCGCGCCACGGATCCATTTCAGATTACGAGCGTTCATAAATGTCTAAGCGAGACAACGATGCGGGGGCTTAAAGAATGTCATACACACGCACACGTGTGCGCGCAGATACACATAGATACACGTGTTACTGCACGCTTGAAATTATCCCGTTCTCGTGCGATACGACCGCGAGGACGATCGGAATTTCAGATCGCGCGTTATTCCTGAGGAATGTCGCCTAATTCACGTCCATCCGAGTTGAGACAACGTGGAAACGCGCCGCGATCGATTCTGTTTCTTGCGGTGCGATATTCACGGAATTAAACGCCATTATGGCGGCCGCTCGGAGAAAGTGAGAAAGAGGGAGAAGGGATCAACGGGATATCTCGATTTATGTCTTTTATATCCCCCAACTTGAGAGATATATTGTAAAAGTTGAGCGCGAGCAAACGTCTCACCCTACACGTATCTCGTATTTTATTAGACAGATTTCAATGGGAGAATGCGCGTTGCGAGCACGCGCGCAACGACTGACACGTCGCGCGCGATTATACGCGAAAATTACAGGCGGTCGGCTCCCTTCTCCCCCTCTCCCTCTCTCTTCCGTTTTATATACGCGGGCACACGCCTTCCTATTATCGCGAAAGGCTCGATGGACTTGTACGTTTTGTATCAGGCAACGTTTCTCGCGCGCGCGCGAAATTAAATTCCACGTCAGCGACGACGTCGGTTACGTCCGACGATACTGGAGGGAAACTTGAGGCACCCCCTTAGAAATATGCTACAGAGAAAGTTGGATACATCGTGCACGAGCAGACTGGCGGGGGGTGGGAGCGGACGCGGGGCGCAAGTTGAGTTAACCCAACAGAGACAGAGGGAGAGTGAAAGAGAGAGAGAGAGCCCCGGAAGCGCTCCGAGGTCTACACCGGGTCTCGATCGAGACGATTCTTCAGGAGCGTTTGTTTACGTTCTTGTAGCGCATCCCTGACGACGCGGGTCAAAGGAAAATTAATCTACTGTCGTAGCACGGCCTCCATGGCCGCGCTCGCCGATCGATAGTGGAAGAAGACGACGTTTAATCAGACGGGCTCAACTAACGCGCGGCGAGACGGGTCGCTGGAAAGCACGAAGCACGTGCGCGGAGAATGGATAGATGGATGGAATTTATTTCATAACCTGGCACTCTCGTGGGCCTTCCTCCCGGACTGGAGCGGTACTGGTAAAGTAGCGAGGGGTGATCGGGAAAAATGTACGGCGGTACAGGGAAGAATCGTGACGACGTGAGGACGATATGATCAACATTATGGACGAAGAATGATTATAAATAGCGAATAACAATAGCAATGATTTCCTAAAAATGAATGAATAAATAAATAAGTATATATATAGGTACGTATCGTTTGCTGTCTTGCAAGGGAAGCCTTCATTAATTAATTACAAGACCGACAAGTGTCGCTAACGAAACACCGATGCAGGCAAAGCCGTCTGCTACGGGCGGCGCAGGCAAGCACAGCAGCAAAACACATTTGGTGTGCCGCGGGCTTAATGTGTAGACCGTGTTCCGTTTATCTCCGCTGTGTCTATATCAAACGCTACAAAATCGTTACCCTCCCGGTTATGGTTGAATGGAAAGATAACGCGAATTCTGCATTATATCACGAGCTCAGTGATACCTGAAACTAATGACGAAGTAAACGATATCGATCGGCAGAGGAGGGGAGGGGCAAATAACGCGCGATAAAATCAGCTACTCTCAGGATATTTTCGTCCAAGTTTCGTCCGTGAAAATTTCGCCGAGGAAAACAAAAGGAACGAGAGAGGAGAGCAAATTCATCCCCGTTGCGTTGTTGAAACAATAATTCGTCCGTGTTTGCTTCTCACCGAGTGTTTTTTTTTCATTATTTGATTAAAAGATGTGCGTATTATGCTCGTAAAACGTATGCGTCAATTTTACGCTGAATCCATCGCGATATATAAAACATCCTTTCTGAAACCCCGGCGTTTCTGCATAAGCTATCGAATAGTCGCGGCGAAGAGCAAATTCGTCGTCTTCTTCGCTGCGTACCGGCGCAAGCGAAACCGACCGAGTCGTTATGCACGATGGTCCAAAACCACCGGTAGCGATAACGCTAATTTCCGAGCAGAAATAACAAAGGATTAACAAACTCGAATTAAAAGTTATTCCAACGATAAGAGCCCCTCGCATTGTCGCGGATTGCCGCTCGATGTGAAAAACAAAAAGGGTCCCGTCAGTCAAGCCTGACTGTGATTACAAGCGGAAAATAGAAAACCCGAAATAGTTCCCCGATAGATTTCTGCGAGATTCACGTCGTCTCAAGCGGAGAATGATTTCTTCTCCGCAGGAGCGAATCAACCCGCGATATATTTACGGGCTGAAGTCGAGAGGGAATTTTTCTTCGGCGAACAGCGCGACGGCTCGCGCAAGATCAGCTCGTCGCGGGCAAAGAAAAAAAAAAAAAAAGATCTAACGAGATCGTCATCGAGTCCGTGGGACGTGGTGAAGATAAATATCCACCGGGACGCCGAGTATGGGTCCAGTTACAGTGATTCGATAGCCGGTATAACGGTGTGGCGCAGAGAACCGTAAACGACAACGCAGACGACGGGGCGCGGATCGATGACGCGAGAGATCGGCGAGACGATCACGTGGGGAAGAATGCGCGTACCGGTGGCTCGCGTTGCGGCCGGTGTAACGGCGCCCGGTGTGCGCAGCGGGATCTCCGGTCGATGCCTCGCAATCCTGAGTTGTTCCATGCGCTTGGTGATCTTGTAAGTGAGCGCCTTCGGCGGCACTTCTAAAGGCTCCTTGGCTTTCGGCTGTACTCGGACTATCGGCTGCGCCAATGCCTCCAGTCGCTCCGAATCGAACGGCCGCCACTTTCTTTTCTTTATCTGGAATACCGCGGGCCACACGAGATCGTAGATAGAAAGAGAGAAAAGAGAGGGAGAGAGGAAGAGAATGAGAAAGAGAGGAAGCGTCAATAACGTCTTTGACTTCCGGTTGAGGTATTTTTCGGGTCGGGTCGAGTCACGTCGTGTTTGGGTAGCCGTACGAATCGCGATGCTTGATCGGAGAGTCGAAATCCACCCTTCAACACGTTCCGTGCCAAACTGATTTTATGTGGCTTCTGTACACCGCGTGAACCACCGCATGGCCCACATTGTCCTGTCACATTTTATATATATTTTCCTCGTTATTTATAAATTTGAATAACGCGTACTTCATAATATAATTATCAAATTATCAAATTTCATATATTTCACGCACGGAGGAAAATAATTTTGCCGTTACGGCGAAAGCGCATCGCTGCGACAGCAGTAAAATTTAATTGGTGCGACCGGATTAGCGAATCATTCGTAATTAGAGTAGAAACACGCAGTTTTGTTGCCGGGATAAAAAATATTTTGTGAATTTGTTCTTAATTTGTCGCACGTTGATTTGCTGTTAGAACAAAGTAATATTTTTCCTTCTATTTGCCAGCGTGTTCTTACAGCGAAATAATTTGTAAATTTGGCGGAAAATAATGCAGCGAATGGCGATTATTATTCTTAATAAATCCTCTTTATTGTCCATACAACAGACGCAGCGATATAAAATTTGCTATGCCGGCAAATTGTTTTTCGCTGAATAATTAATGTTTCGAAGGCGAAATATCAAAGCGGAAAACTCTATGTGGGCCATGGGATGGGCCACAAGGCACGGAGCGTGTGAATCGGCCAATCTGTTATTACGTTGTTATTTAATCGTCCGGTTCTTTTCATTTTCCACGCGCGTTTCCGCTCATCACCGCCGTCGAACCGTATCCGACACAGTTCCGAATCGTCGTGACGCGCGGGAATCCGCAACGCGATGCTGCATCCGGTGGAAATATACCGGGAGGACCGCAAGGCGTTACCGGCGCCTTCCGTGTTATCGATTATCGTCGCGGCGGAATCGGACGCTTTTATCTGGATCGATTAATACTGATAAAAGGGGGTCGGGGGGAAAGACGAGAGAACGGCGATTTCTCACCGGCTTCTTTTTGGGCCTCACGACCTTTGGCGCGGCTAGTTTCTCCAACACCCGCATGTGTCTCTGCCAGTCTTCCGGTTTGGTGAGCGCCTTGCGCAGCTTGGCCATTAGTCTTCTCCTGGAGCGGGAGAGCGACGATTTTTAACGCCCGCGAACGACAAATCTCGAGGAGGACAAATCAACTCTCTCGACCCGGAGGTATTCGCGAGAGCTGAAAGCTACGACGTCGGCGGTTGTGGGTCATCCCGTGCGATATGAATTGCGGAGTGTACTGGTAAATTGATGCTCTTCTGAATCGATAATCGCGCGCGTCCGCGACCGCCGACTGGATAAATGTCCCGCGTAAACGCAATCTCGAAATTCATCGAGCACTATTAATAATTACTTCTTGCCGAACGGGTATCAGATGACCCTTCGTTAATTAAAGGCAGAATTTGATGCACCCTCCGTTCCCCCGGCGAAATCGATACGACGGCGCGGGTTTAAGCTTACGTTTTATTACTTTCCTGTTAATGTTACCGCGGCTTTGCAAAACCGAGCTAAAACTGCGCTTTTATCGAATAATCAGTGAATTTCATTTAAATTCATACATACCAGCCCAATACGTAGGCTCACCTCCGTGCAATAGATCTGCGGGAAAATGAAGAGAGGCGAAGGGAATGAAATTTCAACGTGAAATAACCGCTTTTTAATTTCACATGATCTCCGCGCAGGGAATTTAAAGCAGTGGCATGATTTTCCGTATTTTCACTGTTCGCCGAAGACGAGTCACTTGCGCCAAATCCGAGGAAAAATTGTATGTCTAGGATGCGCGTGTCGTTCGCAGGGAAAAAGTGACGCGATGACGGGAGAGGTATCGGGTTTACTTTTTCTTGGCTTCTCGTGCTTGACGCGCGTTGCAGAATACGCGATACCGCTGGTATCGTGACTTTCGAACCTTCAGCAGCAGATCGCTCACGGTTGCCTTCATGCTTTTCGTACGAACCAATTGCATCGCTCCCAGCAGATTCCTAGCATTTAACGTGCACATTTAAGTCACACCGTACATCTATCATCGACCGAGTCATCTCGGCTATCGCGACTCGCGATCCCGACGTCGCGGCGTAGACGAAATTATAAATGGCATCGCGATTCATTTTAAGAGGGTAATCTCACTTGAAATGTCGTTTCATAAGTGATTTTTTAGAAATTTTTCCTTTGAATAAATTATGTCACATCGTTCTGAAGCTTTGTATATATATTGATCTATCTGTTTTAACAATATATACAGCACAACGTACTAATTGTGTTATCTTCATATTAATAAAGTTACCCATAATGTTGTACAGCGTTGAACAAAAGTTTTGCGTACATGGTTAACACAATTCCAAACGTTGTAGATTTTTGAAACTAAAACGGTGAAAAAATTAATTATTAACTCGTGGCTATTATCCCTACTACGGTGGGAAATAAAAACTGATTTTTTACAAAATGGCATGATGTAAAAGAGAATATCGACTTTTGGTCTTTTTTAACTTTCGGAGTGCTGAAAAAACCGAAATATTAAAAAATACTGTCTTTATCATGGTAGAGATAATAGCCGCAAGTTTACAGTTTAATAATTTTTGTCGTTTTGATTTCAAACACCTGCAACGTCCGGAATCGTATCAACCAACATTTCACGTTCAGAATTAATAAAATTATTTATAACTTAATTAATTTTAATATAATAATGTGTAGAAATTATTGTACGTAGTTAAGGTATAAAGTTAAATTTATGCAAAACTTCAGGATTATACGCCTTATCGCTTTTTTCAAAAGAAATTCCTAACGATCGCCTATCAAACAAAACGTCCCAAATGAGAATATCCCCTTAATTGTGTCGCCATATTTTAAACGCAATATGTGATTTCTCTCATCACACGAGCCGGAGATAATAACCAATTAATAAAACGGCTGTTCCCGCGCTCGAACCCGATTTATACTTCACCATAATTTTGAATCTGACATTAATTAACTCCGGATCTAATGCTAATTAGTTCCGTGATCCGAGGCTCGGTCGCTCGCTCGCTCCGCGGATCTGCCTTCGACATCGGGAAAACGGATGCGCACCTTTTTCGGGGCAACGCCAGCTCGACGATACGTCTGCTGCTCTTAGCCGCGAGCGTCTTCGGGTGAATACGCTGGGGTAATACGTAAGGAGGCGGCGGCGCTCTGCGCGATAATAAATTTCGTAGAGGACTCGCGATAACCAGTAGACAAGTAGGTGAGGCGAAGGACTGTGCACTTACGCGGGGTCGTATTTCTTAGTTACGAATTTTGGTTGCGCCATAACCCGGATGCGCTTGGAGGCGCGGCCCCGCAGAGCCGCGCGCCGAACACTAAAGGGTTTCGCCTGTGGAAAGTACGTCGATATAAGTATCACGCTGGAAGAGACACAAAGGGCCTTTCGCGCGAGAACGAGGCGTCGAGGCGCTCGAGCACCTGCTCCATCGATCGTTTTCGACTGAACGTTTTTCCAGGGGAAAGAGAGAGAGAGAGAACATTCTATCTTTCATAACGACTATTTGATTCTACGGAGGATACGGTGCAGTGATAACGACTTAGCGCAATAACGAATTTCAACTGGATATTCAGGGCGAGGTGTGACGTTTCATCAGATATCCCGTTGAAATTTTTATTTCAGCGTATAAAGCCGACCCGCGATCCGAATTTAACGGATGAAACGGAAGGAAAAAAAATATATATAAAAGGGAGGAAGAAAGAGAATTAAAAAGGGGGACGGAGAAGGGAGATACGCGTCGCGCCCTGTATTAAGGATACGTCAGCTTCCGGAGCGCACGTGACAGAGTTGCAGACGCGAGCGAAAGCTCATGCTCGAGTAGATTGGGATTTTCGTGCAAGCTGTATGTATATTACGGCACGCGCGGGAAGCGGTGAAATGTCCGAGCGGCAACACTGGGAAGAACCTGTCGTTTCTTCCTGTCGGAAACGTCGATGAGCGTACGTGGGAAAAAAAGTTTGCTTGCATTAAGTGGGATCTACAATGAGAATTTCAGGCTTACTCCTGTAGATCCCTCATTGTAGATCCAGTTTTAATTCTCAAGAAAAGGAAGAACCGAATGCGCTTTGGTTGAAGGAAACCGAACTTTTTCCGGTTCTTGTGACTCAAATGCGGTTCTTATAAGCGGAAATTCCGTTTCCTCCAACTCGAATGCATGCGGTTGTCGCATTTATGGTTAACGCAGCCGAACTTTTCCTCCCGTGCAGCGAAGCTGTGCAGTATCGCCGCGGGGTTTACCAGGAGGTTCATGTCGAATCTGCGGAGCCTCCTCCAGTTCGGGCGAGCCAACAGCGCGGTGTGCTCCTTGCGCGATAAATGAGCCATGGCGTATCTGACTCTCCGCGAGAGCATCTTATCGCGGCGGCTCTTTTTCATTTTCGTTCTCCTCGCTGCTTCCCCGACTGATGACCGAGCGTTTCTCCGGTATGCTCAATTAAATTATACCGTCGCCGTCGCCGGCTTCGAGACGCGATTTCCCGACACGTGAGGTGGAAAGACCAAAGGTATTTCACGGGGCGGGGGAGGACACGGGGAAAATTAAACGACACGCGCCCACGGACGCTAAACTCACGCCGTAATTTTGTCCACCGCCACTTCGCGGCGCGCGGATTTTCCACGGGGAAATTTTTCTGCCATTCGGCTCGGCACCCGGGGGCGACGGAAGTGTGAGAACAAAATACGGGCGAGTTGAACCGGCCTGAACTGGCCGCGCTGCAGCTTTCACGGTTGTTTGGCGTTTAGAGCAGGCCGATTTGCACTTTTCCATGGATTTCGCCGGCTGCCATCCCCGTTCTTTTCGTTTTATAGCATCTGAGCTCGTCTCGGACGCTTGAGATCTCATTTATGGCATTATAATAGTTACATGGAGAAAATTCGTTTAGAGCGACCTACGGTTCACGAATCGTTTTAAGGGCGGGTTTCGAAACAACGCGTTCTTTCATGAGACACTCGCCGTGAATGCCGGCGCGGACGAGATATTGCGGGGCGCGGATATGGGACAGACGTGTACAAGCGTGACAAAGGCGCTCTAATTCCGGCGCATTACAGGATCCGTCGCGTAAACGCCGCGTCCATTTGCATACGCCGAATATTTGTCAAACTCCGAATCACGGGAGAAATAATCCGGCAAAGTTTCGCGACGCTCGCTCGCGCGAGAAAGTACGCGGGCGCGCTCCTCCGCTTCGTACGACGAATTAACCGGCAGCGCATCGGACGAGCTTTCCCAAGCCCCTTGAAACACGGAGATCCTGGGAGAAAATACGTGCCTTTGCCGCGCGCCATCGGGCGCGAAAGTATCCTCTCTCATTTTCTCTCTCTCTCTCTCTTCCTCCCTCGTTCCGCTTAAAATGCATACGGCAAGATTGAAAATAAAGCGGTCGACCGCGCGTACCGTTTATGCATTTTTAATGCGCACCGGAATGAGCCGAGTGTCGCGCAAAGGAGAGGCGACACCGAAGGACGAGGGACAGATGTAATTTTCTGGTCCGGGTCGAAGTCTCAGCGTAACGCGGATAAAAGTTCGTCCAATGAAGAGATCTCTTAAGAGACCTGTTGGTTTTATTCGTTTCCGGAGTCGCTCACGAGCGCGCAGGCCACTCTGTGCTTCCCCGCGTCCCTCGCTATCCGTCTCTTTCGCTTTCCTCTCCGTCTCTCGTTGAGCCCCGTTCTCCGTCCTCTTCTCTCCTTTCGCACTTTCGCCTGCACGGTCTTCATCCCTCCATGCTCGTTCCGCCGTTCCTCCCTGCTCCGAAACTGACCTCCCTCTCCCGGCCGATTCACCTTCTCTGTCAACCCCGCATGGGAAATCTCAAATACGAGTCTGTTTACCTGGCACTTGAAATCCCGGCGGATATCGATGATAAGATTTCACCCCCATCGCCTTGCCGCCGCCGGTCCGCCGTGTTTCCCGTCCGCTACAGTTCTCTCCCCGTACAGATTATGCAATTTATATCGCGCGCGTTAACTACCTTTGCGGTGCGACGACCATTGCGAGCGCAATAATGCGGATAGCTCGCCGTATCGGGGCCGCCGCAACTCCCTGGGAAATACCACTGAACTTGCCTCGAGAGCGCATCGCGCGGATTTGTCGGAAACGGTCGAGTCTTTCGAGCCTGCCGACTCGTAAATAGATTTCCCCACCCTTCCCGTTAAGCTGACGGGCGCCGTTACATCGACGACGACTTTGGTTCTCGGAGACACTGACAGTTTCGATTCGTGGCACTTGCGACGGCAGCGGTCTGAGAGTGTTCTCCGTCGATTTTGATGGACCTCGGATATATTGTAGAAGAGCCAAAAGTAAGAGACAGAGGCACGAATGAAAGATATTTTTTATTGGTGTTTTCTCGCACGTTTGGGGACTGAAACAACCTCTGAAAGTTAATTCTATATTTTACCGTTGAAAAATATTTTGGAAATTCTGAGATGTACGAAAAATCATTTTACACAAAAGTTTTCTGATGTACTTTATAACTATGCATATTTAGGTTCTCTTAAAAAAGAACGAGAATTAATAAAGCTCTCCCCCAATTTCCATTAAATAATTTTTTCCAATTTTCTGATAACCTTAGTAAACAAAATATATAATACATAAAGTTCCATTAGTGATCAGGAAAAAATTGTTTAATGGAAATCGGGAGGGGTCTTAAAAACGGCCTCATTGATCCTCGTCCTTTCACATTTTTTACATATTTTCGCTCTCATCTTATTATTATCTTCACAAAATTAAAAATTTTCCTAACTATATAAATCAAGAAGAATTTTACATCAAATTTTTTCTCATGAATGTTAAATTGTTTTCTGAGATCGTACCTTTGGCATACGAGTGTAAGCGCCGCGCTGTGAGTAGTTGAGACGCGCCGCGGTCAGACGGTCTCAGACGGTCCCGCGTTCCGTCTGACCGCGGGCGTCTGCAGCTACTTACAGCGTGGCGTTTTACTACTTACATCTCAAAACTGTGATCTCAGTAAATATTTTATTACACACAGATGAATTTGGCATAAAATTTTCTTTAATTTTTAACTTTACAAACATCTTGGAAATCTGTGTAAATAATAAATAAATAATAAATAAAAAATTAAAAATATAATGGTAATTATATATAAATAATAACAATATGATAATATAAAATGACATTTTTTAAATTTAAATTTAAATGCCAAATTATAAAGTGAATTAAGCAATATAAAATTTTTATCTAAAATATTTTTTCATTTCACGTTTTTATAGATATTCGCATGTGATAAAAATGCACGAATAGTAAAAATAAAGAAAATAATAAAATGTGCGAAAAATACTTATAAAAAATACGTGTCTCTTGTATCTTGAATTTTTCTACAATATATTCAAGACTCATAAAAATCAGTGATGAGCACTTAGAGACCTATTATTAGTCACAATAAAAGAATAATCGTGAATTTTTTTTAATTACGTTTTTTAAATTACGTTTTTCTCTTTTCTTATTTTCAGTGATAGCCCCGTGTTTTGAAAGCAATCGGAGTGATGAGAATCAACGTATATGCAAAAATCGCGCTTCTCCCCTCGAAGTCGACGATAGGTTGTTTAGACTTCGCGAAATTGGATCATTTAAAAACTCGCGAACGGACGCCCGGATCTCTAAGCTAACGTTCGCGCTACGAAGCAACTCATAAAAAATACAGATCCTCTTTTGTATAAATAAAGACACGGTAGTAAAGCGCTACGCACCTCTCTTTCTCTCTCGCTCTTCCATGCAAAAATAAATCGTAATGTTTTACGGCTGATGCATTTAACCATGGTTTATGCGCAAATTAATTTAGCTGAGCGCAACGGGAAAATCCAGGAACAGAGACTCCACAGCCGTTTCTGTATTGTAATTCCTCATGCTGACGCAAAACGTGAGGTACACGCGTCGGAATATTCCCTTTAATAGTTTAATTTCTCGTGTATGTTTCGCTCATATTTTTAATGGACCGTCATATAATAACTCACGCGTCCGACACGCGATCCCCCGCAATCCCGAAACGTCTCTCGCTTCTCCGTGATCAGACGTGACGACGCGCGCGCACGAACATCCGCGCGACGCGATGACGAGCGCGAGCGGGGTCGTCACCTAGGGCGGAAATGCTGCTTTAATAAAATTCAGTAGTAGCCGGAATTTCGGCACCGGGAATATTCGTCCATGGTGCGGATGAAATTGGGATTTGTCGGATTTGCGGATATTCCGCATTGCGCCGACGTTACGGATATCCGGATTTTTCAATATAGCAAGTAATCTCAATCGCGTTTTCGTTTTGTGTATTTTTTCTCTCTCTCTTTCTATTTCCACCTCTCTCTCTCTCTCTCTCTCTCTTCATTTCTCTTCTACGGCCTCTCTCCCTCTCTCTGATTTTTTACATATAACATCGTGACACGTACGTACGTCGCAAGCTGTATTAATTTGCTCTGGAATATTTGCCACCACCGCAGCTCGAAATTTTCACAGTGAAATATCATCCGATCCGCAGATACGCGGCGTTCTATTTATCTTGTCATTTAGCTCTATTCGACGATATTTCTTTCTCTCTCTCTCTCTCTCTCTCTTCTCCCTCTGCCTATCTCTACCTTGTCCTGTAGTGATTCACGCGAGATATACCGGAAATTCCGGAGTTGATTTTAATGACGGCGCGAACTCTCTCCATTTTGACTGGCGGAAGGTACATTGAGATCGTCGCAAGAAGTCGACCCGAATATTCGTGCGCGCGCCACCGACTCCGATCGCGATATCCTCGTTATAATCCGCGCAAAAAATCCCCGCCGGGAGGCAAACCGACCAAGCGCCGCGGGGGAAAACTATTCGAGAGGGTAAATCGGCCGGCGGAGCGATTAATTTGCCTGTCTATTCAAATTAGTCGTTCATCTCTACGGCGACCGCGACAATTATCGAGGCCGTCGTACACATTCGAAGGGAGCGTGAAAAGATTACCGGTTGGCTCGTATTCGCGCGGAACACCGTGAAATCCCCGAGACCTCTCTCTCTCTCTCTCTCTCTCTCTCTCTCTCTCTTTCTTTCTTTTCTTCTTGTTCGCTCGCTCTCTCCCTTCTTCCTCTCTCTTTCTCCTACTCTACCGCTGATTCTCTCTTACTCTATTCTACTCTTTCTCCCTCTCTTTTTCTCTCTGTGGGTGTGCAAGCTCGTCGGTCGAACTCGAAAAACTTGGAGGATGACCCCATTCGTCGTCGGGATCAGCGCGAAAGATACGACCGAGCGGAGAAAAGTTATCTCGCATCTGCGATCGCGAGAATGGGGCTCGGGAACGCGCGTTTTTCTTCCTTCTCATTCCGGGATGTCGAATGGCATAATTTAGTCGCAATTGCCGTAGTTCATAGGGCGGCTG